CCCGCCAAGGCATGGACGAGCCAAACCCACTGTCGTGCCCCGTCTCTCTCTCCCTCTGCTTTCCGCTATCGTCATGTCGCATCGCGGTGAAGCCAGAGAGCGAGCACCTCTCACCAATTCCTCGGGCTCGTGTCTCCGCCTTCACGCCCCCTCTCCAGCCGACCCCACCCTGCCTTGACTCGCGTCATGCCGAACTCCAATTTTGGAATCTTGCCGCCGCCGTGCCGTTAAGGCCCGTCGCCGCTCGCGTCGTGGTCAGTCTCCACCACTTTACCCCGCGTCAATTCCTTTGCACAAATAGCTCGCCTTGGCTTCCTCTTCATCGTGCGCACGCTGGTCGTAGCTCTTGTGCCGCCTCCTCGCCGCTGACGCGGTCGTGCCTTTGCGGTCCGCCGTTCACCTCGCCTGAGCGCATGCGGCCAACCTCGCTCGGATCGTCTCCGGTTGAGCCGGCTTCTTGGTAAGGTCACTGGTGAGTTATCATTGCTCACCCACTGCCCTACCGCCTTGATTGTTGCTGTAGCTCACCTGAACGTCGTCGCCATTGCCACAGGGTGTCCGCCGTCGGGGAGAGGTCCTTCTACGACATCTCGTCTCGCGCAACCACCGCCTATCGTCTCGCGTCGAACCCTAGGTGAGCGTCGACCTCGTAGCTAGGTCAGCGGGGGTCCTGTGTGGCCGACGTAGGCGCCTGTGCCACTGCTCGTCGTGCCAGAGCGTGCGGGGATGGCCGTGGGCCTCACCGTTGTAAGGAGAAAGATCCAAGGGTTCTTTTGTATAAGTGCTGTCTCTAGGAATAGTAACGTGGACTATGGGTTGTTTTGTTCATAGTCTAGGGGTGTTTTTGCATATGTGTCAGCGCGCGCAGGCCTCCTCCGCTGCAGGCCGCCTTCGCGCGTGTGTGGGCCGCGCCGCTCGTTAGCGGGCCGCGCGGGTTGAAGTCGTTTTCATTTTTCTAGAAAATAGAAATAGTTTTATATTTAACATTCCAAGTTGAACTTTGAAAATTAATATCAATTCCTATAAGTATCCAAAAATTATGAAATAAATTCTGTTGAGTTCCTAAAAATGGTGTCTATCTGATAGTATGGTTAGTTTATACATGTCTGTGTTGATGCTAAGGTCTATTAAATCATTTGAAGGTGTTTAATGTTATTTAGATTAATATTTATAGGAATTTTTGTGGCAAATTGATAATAGCTTTGACCATTAAATTTTTACAGTAGGTTCATAGTATTATTATGTACTCACTATAATTTTGTAGCCTTAAAATATGTTGAGAAATATGGTAGCTAAGTACTCCTTGTTGTAATATATAGGAAATCGTTAATAAAAGTAAGAATATATTTTAGTTGCTAAGTAGCACTTGTAGGTGAAACCCTGCTGGTTTGATGGGAGTGATGATTAGCTCGGTATCTAGTCATTAGAGCTAGTTAGTGGCTTAGTAGATGTATTCTTATTTTAAGAGTTGTTGTTGCCGTATTACTAAGTGTTGCATCATCATTTCATGCATGTAGATAACGAGTTGGTAGAGTTTGTTACCGCGGGTAAGCCGGAGTACGAGGAGATAATCGAGGAGTACGAGGAGATCCTCCTCCAGGAGGGAGCCCTGGAGCCATCAGCTACAGACCTTGCTGACACCACTCCTGCCCAAGGCAAGCCCCGATGCATAACCCTTATTTTGAATAATCACTGGATATATATGTGTGTGATGTGCATTGACGTTATAGGCATTTTATGGAAGCTACCTGCATAGATATACCTACCTATGAGTCCTACGAGCATAGGTCGAGTAGCTGCTATGCCTAGAATTTTCGGTAGCGTGAGTAATCTGTCGTTACTCACAATAGGTGATTATTGTTATCACTCTTATGATAAAATGGTGAAAGGAAAATGTAGATCGGGCAGAGATATGTTACGGGTATTGGTGGGTGTAAGGGGTTGTGTCCCGTGGCCAACGGGGCATAGCTTGGTTATACTGTTTTCCCTGTCCGTGTTGGTTAAGGACCGGGCGTTGCATTGGATTCTAGTCAGGTCACAGACTTATTATCCTGAGCACATACTTGTTTATGGGAGCAGGGAAGGCTCGTTGTTTCTCTTGTCGTGGGTTCCGCTCTTTTCTCGGACCGACTGTTTGGAGGCGGGGATGGTGGAGGTCTAAGCACCACACTGAGTCCGGGACTCAGATGTGAGGGCTTGGAGTCCAAGTTTGGACGGGGACCTGGACCCATTGACAGGAGAGTGATGGGTTGGTGCTGCTTATGCCTAGGTACAAGCGAGACGTGTGTTTTTGGGTACCCAGTTGGGCACATTGATTCATGAATCGCCGGGTAATCCAGTACGACTTGTCTACAATCTAGCACCGTAGTAAGAACTGAAAAATAAAAGGTGATGAAATATATCTGTTTGCTCAACTCTTACTTGAAAGTAGAATAGGTGCTTACCTAGAATGGTTAGATAATGAACTAATCATGACTGCTAATAAGAAATATACATAAGGATTCACTACTAGTATTGCTTTCCGCAAAAAGAAAACCTAGCAAACTAATAAGCCTATCATATCCTTTGGAGTCGGGAAATTATTTTCCCTAGTCAGATAAGTCTTGCGAGTACATTGTGTACTCAGGGTTTATTTAACCCTGTTGCGGGTGCATGTTGTGTGAAGGATTCTTCTGGTGGGCACAGACGGATCCTTGTATATTATCGATAGACGTTTATTTAATTTTCGTTGTTTAAATTCCGCACTCTGAACTTGGTACTGTAATAATGTATTTCTAAGAACTACAGTCGTATGAAATGGACTAAGTATTGTAAACTCGTTTTATTATTGGATCTGAAGAAAAACATGGATTATTGAATTCTCCTTTGGGTGCGCCGGATGTAATCCGTCAGATGTAGTTTGCTTTCGGGTGCTTATTGTGTGGTGGAAGACGAGCGCCTACGAAGGTGTGTTATTTTGGACGATTCTGCCACAACTTTAGACCATCTGTTTAGGACTTTAGCTTTAAAATTTAGAGGTCTAAAATTTAGATGAGTGGACCCAAACAGACCCTTAGTATGATACTATCTCTGTCCGCAAAAGAATATAATTATAGGATGCGTGCCGGTTAAAGAAGCTCAAGTTTGACCAAGTTTATAGCAAATATTATTAGCATTTATGTCTCCAAATAAATTTATTATAAATATATATTCTATAACTAATCTAATGGTACTTACTTTATATCATAAATATTTATATTTTTTTATATAAATTTAGTTAAAGTTTAAACGGTTTGACTTTTCAAAAAGTGAGAATTGCATTCTTTTATGGACGAAGAGAGTATTAAATGTTTGATTATTATTTTTTTGTCGTGAATGCTTGGATCTCGCCAATACAGCCTCCTATGGTTTTCGATATTGAGATATCGTGTCTATGTTGTGTCAAACTTGGCTACTATGTACTTCTTGGCAAGCAGATATCGGTAGTGATTTCAAGAATTTTTTTTTATCAACTTGACCCACTCAATGATCTTAAAAATCAATAAAAAAATTCTGTCTCAAAACCTGCGAAATGACTCGGTGAGGGTGGAGGAAGACAATAATCCCCCATTGTGTTTCTTTGTTTAACGTAATAATACTAAATCACTCTGCAAGTCACTATTTAACGTAATAATACTAAGCCACTATAAATAAGGTAGATCTCATCTATCTGTGGCTTTGCATGGAACCATACGCCCATAACCAACTTGAGTTAGCTTAATTTCAAACAGATTTAAGTCCTCGCCAAAAGAAATGAAGTCTGTAATCCTGCTATGACTTCAGATTGTTCCACCTCTGGCACCAACGAATTATCCAGGTAGCCTATATAGCCTATAGAACGATGTAAAGAAGAGGTTTCAGCATGAAACATGAATCCATCTAGTCCCCGTACTACATAACCATTCAAGCTGACAAAAACATTCGACACCAGAAGTCCAATCTCCAAAACCATATAATCCGGTTCATGCATCAGGCGTTGCACTTAGACGAACAAACCAAGACATACAGAAAAAAAAATGCATAGGTTGGGCAAACAAAGTAATAGGCTAACAGCTCATGAAACCAGCACCTCCATAATGTAGCAAAAGCTCTAGTTACCGTCCCGTCAATGTAGCCTCAAAGAGATGAAATGACAGCGTCATTGGTAACACTTTCAAATATGTCACGCTCCAGGAACAGCAATAAGCAGTCACTGATCCACTGGTTGCAAGGTTCTTCCTGCATCGTGCTATCTATGAACTTAATCGCAGAGGATGCTGTCTTGGCGGTGGCCGGTGTCCCAGGAAGGATGAGAGCAAGCTTTAGAAGCAGATATACCAGAGGATACATGGTGACCTTGCCTGTCTCCACCATCTTAACAGAAAGTTCACTGAGAGCACTCATTTCACGGAACCTGACATCAGAGCGCAAGTCCGCTACGAAGGCTTCAAGTTGCAGATCAAGTGTTGCTATGTCAGAATCAGAGAAGTCGGACGGGTAGAGCCGAGCATACTCGAGAAGCTTCTCCTTATCAAAAGCTTGGAAAGAATTCTGTGGATTTAAGCACGATGAAAGAAGAAACAGCACTGAGCTTTGCTTGCTGAAACGCTTGTCAAACTCATTGAGGTGAATATTGATAACCTTTTCGAAGAAATCAATATGGTAGTGCTCCAGGTTCGTCATCGTTGGAGCATTGCCCCTCAATCTCGGCCGGGGTTCAAATTTGGCTCCCATATTGGGCATGGGGAATTCATTTTCACTGCAAAACAAGCCTACTTTGTTGAGGAAGGATGTCCATCCTTCATCCCTCATTGCCTGCAGCTGCTTCTTGGCCTCCTGGAGGAGAGCCATACAGTTCTCTGCGTCCACATATTTCCTGTCCAAGGCCAGTGAAAGCTCATTTGTAACACTCAGTACATCTTGCATCAAAAGCAAGGCAAAGGCAAAGTCATAGGACAATCCTTTAAGTACTTTGTATGCCAGATATGTGTGATCATGGTCTTTCACTTCTTCTCTCTCACAAAGTAAAGTGCGTCACAAATTGGATCAAAATAAGCAGCAAATTTCACGAGTGCCTCATAATATGAACCCCAGCTTGTTTCACCAGGTTTGTTAAGATCACTGGCCAGGTTGAACCCTCTCTCTTGTATTAGCGAACAAACCTTTTCTGTGAACTGGGGACAGTCTTTGACTAGATTTGACAGTGCATCGACAGTTTGGAAGAGCTCATAAACTTTAAACTGACCATGGGAAGAATGTACAAGAGAAGAATGCAGCTGGCAGAGATAAGGATGAACGTAGTACTCCAATCCATTCTCGTTAGTGATTAATGTCTTTAGTGTGGTGAAAATTTCATCGTCGTAACCAAACAAGCCATGGCCTTGACCACGCAGCTTCGACAAAATCAATCCAGCTTCAGAAAGCATCGAATACACCATCACATTGAGAGATGAACCACCGAAATCAGGGTCTGGCACAACACCGAGAAGCCTCTCCACCACATCACCCTTGCCATCAAGATAGCGCACAAACAGGACCATACAGGACATCATCGTGCTAGGTATGTAAACCGTATCAACAAATATCCCATAGAAATCTCCCTGGACCACACCGCCGATACCTTTTCTTGTTTCCTTAGCAAATGCATGGGCAATATCCTTGTCAAGGGTAGGTGTCATCATCCACATCCGACCGGGATCATTCTGCTGGGAAGTACCGGGACTCAACATCATGTCTACCATGAAGCCTGACATGTCCACAATCATCCTCTCTGCAAAAAGATCTCCCAGACCCATTGTCTAGGAAAGCCATCCCTTCTCTGAAGACAAACCTCATGAGGTCAATTGCCTGGTGAATGTCAACCTTCTTAGGAGATGGACCATCCTGAGGCTCCTCCATAACAACATCACCGGCATGTGCGACTGATGATGATTCGATCTTCCTCTTGCGAGATGGACCTAGCAGAAGGTCCTCCATGACGACATCAGCTGCATGTGCGTCTGAAGATTCATCCGAGTGAACAGGTGCACCACTAGTTTGGTTACGAGATTGGCAATCTGACGGCTCCATATCCTAACCACCAAGCCAAACCACAATAAGTCCCAAGTAAATTCCGATGAGCATAAAAATTACTGGAGCAAGAAGCCTGAAATTTTATAATTATACCCCTTTTTTGCGAGGATAATTATACGCCTTATATGTGGGAAGGAATCGCAAAAAGAAAATGAACAACGACATTCATCAGAGTATGTACATTGGCGCATATCTAGGCATGAATAACCATTATCTTCTACCTGCTATTAGGGTTGGGAATCACAACAACTGAAGAACGAACGATGCAGTTTTTGCAAAGCCAAAACCCTACCAAGGAGCGCTCCCTAAATGAAAATTTCACGGCAGAAACCTTAGAATTGGGTTGGAGCGCATTCGACACATTCAATCTATGCAGGTTTAGCGGTAATCGTGGTCGTGCGGGGACATGGATTTGGCGATCAAGAAATGGTACCTCGAACTCGGAGGGAGGGAGGCGGAGGCGGCGGCGGCAAGAAGGCGAAGCGACTCGTCTCCCTTGTCCCCTGTTTCCACTTTGCGAACCTAGCGTCAGTTGTGCCACACTGCGCGTTCCGTAAAAGCCCTTTTCATCTCCGAATTACTGGTAGTGTAACCAGCAGGGAACTACTGATTCAGAATAAAATTTAATTATTTATATAATTCTTAGAAAGACACTAAGGCCCTGTTAAGATACAGATTATTTTTAAAGTATCAAATAAATACCATGGTTTTCGAAAATACTTTGGCTTTTAATGACGGTTAGGTGTTTGATGCCATAAACTTTGTAGTTTATAAAATCATGGTTTTATTAAAATTATAGTTTTTTTTTAGTTTTAAAAACAACACTTATGCCTCTTTTTTCTAAACCATGGTTTTGTATCTCTTTGACTTACAAAACTACACTTTTGTGATACCATGGTTTTTGAAAATTACATTACCCAAATAGGCCATAACTATTATAAACTAATGTTAGTAGATAGCATAGCACGCTAATGTGGACAACTAAATATATGTTGGTGGATGATGTGCCTCGCTGACGTGGATATCATAATTTTTTGTGCTGATGAACTTTAATTGCAAGTGACAGTGGACTGTTGAGGCGGACACCTTGCATTTCAAGAAAAATTGCTAGTGGGATTTGACTTTATAAGAGTATATGATACAAAATAATATAAATTTGTAAAAAGTAAAATGAACAATTAAATTTAATAAAATTCACGTCTCATATATTTTATAACCAAATATTTTTATCATATAATATATGTGACATAACAAGGCAATAATAAGTCATATCTCGCCCCGACCACCTAATTTCTAATTTGTTTAAGTAGGTCATGGAGTTCAGTAGGAATAATGGGCCTGATTGGTTGAAGACCAAATTGAATTGTGGTTACCAAAACTTGGGCAAGCCAAAATTTTGGCAGTCATTTGGTTGACTACCAAAATTTGTCAACATCTCACAATTAGCTTACCAAATTCATGGTAAGTATTCTTGCCTTAGTTTTGGAAAAAAATTCTTGCCAAATCTTTGGTAAGGCAATTTTTGGTAGCCAATCAAACAGACCCAGTGTCTTTACATTCATTTGCATTGCACTTCAAAATGTCCACAAAAATTCGTCATAATATACATAGAGAATATATATACTCACAGATCGCATGAAATTGTACATAAGGAAACCTATCAGGTTGCTGTAGAAGAGCACGCATTTTATTGCTGTAAAATCAAAGGATTATTGAAATAATTATAAAGATGAATAATATTATATAAGTTATTATCAGCCCAATGTTTTTGGAACCCATGTTGGGAACTGACAACGCCAGTAATAAATATTATCTTTTTCATGTAGGACGTGTCAAGTCCATGGCGAGTTTAAAATCAATGGCAATTTTATGTAATTTGTGTATATATGACATGCATGGATCAGAACCCTTAAACTCTAAATTTTTAGGACGAGGGTCCATAATGCACATAGTTCTGGTACCCATGTCTAGTATATGTATAATGTGTAGTGCTTAAGTCGACGGCATGGCAGTAGAACATGTAAACAAACACCCAGTCTATAAAGTCACAAATGATAAAAATATAAGTTTTTAAAGGAGTATACAGAACATACCTTACACTGTTGTAATGTGAAATATCGTACTCCGTGTTAGGCCAGCATTCAAGCCAATTTTGCCAGTTGGATCTCGTCCAAACTAAAATATGGACCGTTCATTTTGCAAAATTTAGAATTTTTGTTTACATATGTACAACAAGAGAACAAGTATATCAACTAACACAAAACTGGGGGTCTATGTAGTAGAATTTGTCTTCTAACCATAACAAGGCTTCGTTGCACGCAACTGTCCAAACACTCATGTTGAAGCAGTCACAATTAATGGGTTTATTTGCATTTAAATATCTCTAAGTGTTATGAGACTTGAAGAATTCGGATATGGTCTGATGCTTCGAACCCATTCTTGGCTAGAAAAACAAGGACCTGGAACGAATTAGTTGATCACATCTTAGTATTAGTATATATGCAATTAACTAGCAAAAAAATACTTACTATAAACACTCTTCGTCATCTATCGACCAGATGTTCCTTTCTCTTGGTGGATATTTTGGCAGATGGTTGAGGACTAGCAACAATTTTGATAGTTGAGTGATCTCACCTGGATTATTGATCATTATGATATCACCCGGATTATTGGTGATCTCTTTATCTTGATCATCATCCTGGTACCCTCTTGCTGTGTTTAACATGGAGTTCCACAAGATTGCAGGGAGCTTGAGCCTAAACTTACCTATATCATCCTGAAATATGAGCAAGTGTTGATTTACTAACCGATTATTTGACAAAAAAAAGACTATGTTTAGAAATCTTCCTGTGAATTACCTGGGTAACATGGTCAGATAGAGAGATGGCAGCATGTTAGGTAAAGTGTGGCCGTGTGGGTGAAGCAAATAGCCACACCAATTACCTAACGGTAAAAATTTACACTCGCATTTGTACTGTGGATAACATTTTGCACCGACACCACACCCATCAAGTATGATACCCGCCAACATTAGCCTAAACGTTTAAACGGATTGAACGATCACCTATCATTTAGCTATTAGGTTAAACGGCCATCTAAACGGAATAAACTGTGGTTAAACAAACACGGCAACCTACTCTGTAGCGTTTACACACCCGTTAGGGCTAAACAGACATGTAAGTGATACTCACGAGTTAGATTATATATTATTACGAAATCCCATGTATTTGAAGCATCGATAGGTAAAGCGATATGCATACCCATACCGAAAGGATATAATCTTATACTTGTATAGTTGTATCTACATCTGCACATAAAATTTTTATCCATATCTACATCTATCGTGTACAATACCTGCCGAAATGCAATCACTGCCGACTTGGAGAAAAAAGTGTTTGAATAGTCAAAATTTTAAAGGTGATCAAATACATAAAAATACTAATATTTACAATGTATACAATACTATTAGATTAATACTAAACTATATTTTTATTACAAATATATTTATAAATATAAATGTTGATGCTAGCATTTTCTATAAATTTAATTTAATATAGAAAAGTTTGGCTCGTTATAAAAAGCGAAATGTGCGGGGGGTTTTAATTCCGAGGGAGTACTGTACTATACTCCTGCCGAGACGATCCGTGCGCCGAGTCGGTCCAACGGAGCAAGTCCCGGACAACGAGGAGTCAACTGCATCGGTCAAAGCAGCCAGAGCAGCGGAAGCCGCAGCGCTGCCAGGCGCCAGCTGGGCGCATCGGGGGCAAAAGCGCGCACGTCGTGGCCCCGCTGTCCCGCGGGCCCCAGCTGCGGCGTTGCCCCCGGTAACCGAGACGAACGATTGCACGGAACCTTGGGGCTCGGGAGTACCGGGTACTCGTACCAGTACCACAAGCCCAAGCTGGCACGTGGCTGGAGGCCGTGGCCGCTGAAAGCCGGGCCCCGCGGAGGTTCTGCTTCTACAGCTACTGGTTTCCACTTGCGCGCCGGCGGGTGGCCCAAATCATGCCGCGCACGTGCCCCACCTGCAAGGGCTACAGCTACAACAGCAGCCTACAGGCAAGGCGACCGGACTTGCCTATACGGAGTACCGGCCCTTCGGATGGCCCACCTTCTATGCTCTTCCGGCCTCGTGGGGTCGGTCGACTTTGCAGATGAGCCCTTTGCGATGAGAATATTGTCACGTTTGTTTGAACTTATCATTTATGGTATATATTTTTTTTTCTTACAACAAAAGTCATAGCTGACTTATGAGCCGTAAAAATTAATAGCTGAACAGCTCGTATGTGCGATGAGAATACGGAGTATGTGTCAGGCGGATAGTATAGGATTCATAAATTCCCACAAAATTCTTTTTTGAGTAGATAAAACCCCACAATTTTCTTTTTTGAGTAGAGAAAAACAGAACGCCACGATTGTAAAATGGCGTGCAATAATCAAGATCCACGTTAACGGCATGCTAAGGGTCCATTAGGAAGAATTCTAGTAGCTTCAGGTTTATGGGTTTTATGGAGGACCTAAAAAGTGCTTTCAAAACCATGGGAATCCGCGCGACGCCGGGCGCCCTACTGCTTTGACGCTCTCGGCGTGTGCCTCGACGAGCTCGTAGGATTCTCGATCATGTTCATGGGTGGATGGGTGCGCTTCCCTCGCGCTTGCTCCGTGCGCAACCCCGGCCGCCGACAAGATGCCCGTGATTTTCTTTTTGTATTTTTTCATTATG